GTATAAAGCTCGCTGCGAGATCAGTCACCAGCAGACACAGAGAAAACCCAGAAAAAAACAGCGAACACCGCAAATACGAAGTTGAAGAAATGCGCACGGTACAATATTAAACAAACAGCACGAACAAAATATTAACAAAATATAACTCTCGAAAATAGGTGAGAAAACAAAAATAACAAATCGAAACAAAGCCATGTGTGCTGAAACTTAGACAAATACGAATTTAAGCAAATAGAAAGGCCTTAAATATTTGCTAAATACCTGCGAAATGGAAAGTTCTGTCAGCACGAATTTGAAACGCGTGTCGAAAACAATCGAATAAATAAATAATTTTAAAAAAGAAATGTGAAGCATATATTTTGATTATTATTTTTATAATTTTTGATTAAAGTAAAATGTTACATTTTTTTAATGACTTTTTTAAAAATTTTCATTAAAGAACCATGGTATGTTTTTATATTCAAAAATATAAAAAAAAAAATTAAATATCTTTTAAATAAAAAATTCTTAGTTCACAAAATTTAAATTGAGTTACTGATAATAATACAGAATTTGCCACTTCATATTTTTATTATTATTTCACAATTTTTAATAGAAGACCGATGGAAAACTTTATATTTTAGAGCTTATTTTCATAAAAATTTAAATTAGAGATCGTGATAAATTGTTTTTAAAAGCAGATAATTTGTTAACAGAAACAAAATATGCAAACGGATGCAAAATAATTATTTTTAGCTTTTCTGGTATTTAAAAAAACAATTTAAAAATTTTTAAGTTCAATTTATTTTGTACTAATCGTACAGTATTCTATTATTTAAAAAAAAAATATATAATTTCACGATTTTCTTTAACCAACTAAATCCAAATGGAGAATAAATATAAACACCATGAAAACGACCGTTCAATGTTTTCCGCAAACAAATCCAAGGCAAAGGCCCTGGCAAACAAACAATCAAAAAATAGAAATACAATCATTTTCGCATGAAGTTTGGCCAAAACGCCTTCGTTTTTGGGTTCCCGGCTTTGATTTTAATTTTTGTTGGTCTAGCGTGGCAAAACGAGGGGGAGGTGGAGGGGGGTTTGGGTACTTTGGGGGGTCAGAAACAGTGGGCGGCTGAGGGGGATCGTCTGCAGACTGAAATTTATGGCGTCACGTTGGCAACTACTGGTTTTGATTTTTATTTTTAGAGTTTGCCTTATGCCGCGCTCTAACAATTCGCGGCTTCATCGCTGGCTTTATAATTGCTTTTTTCAAATTCACTTTTTGGGCTGCTCTTTTTTTTTGCTAGCTCAGGTAAAAGTGAGCTGAAAATTGGGCTAAGATTTACACAAGTTTAGAGGAAAACTTGTCAGAGGATCGGTTTATATTGCTGGGTGGTCATCAAGTGTCAAATGTTTTTCACCATTCTTCTAAGCGCTCCATCATTGTTTTGAGTCATTTCGTATCTAATTGTTAGCCACATTAACAAAAAAAAGAAAAAACCAACAAAGACATAAAGAAAATGGCAAATTTAAGGTTTTCAAAGAGTCAGCAGTTAAAGTACCTCCTCATGTAGCTGCCAGTTTGGCAATGGTCGCTGTTGTTGGCCATTATGTGCATAAAATTATCAACCACATTAGCAGAGGACCCGGCGAACACAAAATGTACAATTGTCATGCATAATTACGGCTCGGAAAATCCAAAGAAAATCTCAAGTGTTGACAAAAAGAGTTAACGGCAGAAGCTCGAAAGGGTTTTTTTCAAGAGGCCCCTCATTCAGGGGAGAATCTTAAATTGGCCCGGCAAGTTCTTGGCGGGAAGATACTTAGCTTTATTTCTAGAACGTTGGAGCTAGGGAATGGACAAAAAAGAGTCGTATAATGATGTCATTGGCAAGGGCAGTTAACTCCATTTTCAGTTTTGGCAGCATTTTGTTCATTAACAAATTATACTCACACATACGTAGCTAAAACACCATAAAAAATAAGATTTTTCTTGAATAAAGAAAGATATTAAAGTGTTATTTTAATTGTATATTGTAAATTTTTTATTATATACAAATAAATACAACTTTAAAAATGCATAATTTTTAATTTGAGCTTCGAGCGTTTTTTAATCAAAATAAATATATTGTCTTTGAAATTATACTTTTTGACAGATCAATTGCAAGTTCATTTGCATTCCAGGTTTTTAAGGTAAAAAAATATCTTGTTCAAAATATAATATAGAAAAAAAAACCTCTTTTAAAGTTTTAAAAACTAGAATAAATTTAATGGTATCCCTATTCAGTTGATTTGATTGATTTTTTGATTTTTTAAATGTAATTATCATAATTGTAATATACACTCTGTATATTTGATTAAAGATACATATGTCAAGGGATTTATACTGGACGGCAAATTTATTTGAAGAAGTTTAAAATATAACTCGGCCCCAAGAAAACCAAAAAATGCCATAAAAAGTAGCTAAATAGCTGCAATATATATACATACGCTCGTTCGCTCGTGCAGATATACGTAGTCGTATCTATATAGGTATTTGTGTAGGAACGGCTCTCTAGCACTGGCTGCTATTGAAATTGAAGGCGACAACGTCGTAGACGACGTTCCGCAGAGAGCTTTTCCATCTTTTTTTCTGTTTATTTTTGTGCTTAATTTTATTTTGCGTTTTGCCCCGGCTACAAAGCTACAACTGAGAGGGCAAAAATCGCTCTCTTCTTAGCTATGTAGGTTTCTTCTTTCTGGTGGAGCCCCAAACACAACATGTGTTTCGTCATCAAAATGTTGTGTTTGTTGTGTTGTTTTAAAATATTTTCATTCCAAAAAAAATATTCAAAGGAATTTTACGAACCCAGGTTTTAAAATTTCCAATTTACTATATTTTTTGTATCAACCAAAAACATAGATATTTATAATTAGGTTTAACACTTGATTTTAAGACCCGCTTTTCAAACGAATAATTCAATTAACATTGTACTTAAAAAAGAATATTTTGTACGTCGCCAAAATAAAATAAAATAAAATGTCTACCTCGAGAATATTTAGGTTTTAGATACATTATCATCTGGGTTATTTCATATCATATGGGTTAATCATATTTTTAAATGGCTTAGCTCTTTTGGGTAACATGAAATTTGAAAAGTTTTGGATCTCCAAGTTATACCTTATTTTTAAGGTCTTGAAAGTATTATAGGTGTTTAAATTCCAATATAAAATAGACAACTAGTGATCCAAAATACAGATCTTCAAAAACTACCGAAATTTTGTATGTCTATATTTAAGGTTAAACTACCCGCTTTATTTTCAAATATTTTAGAACTTGAAAAAATGTTTATTTTTAAAACTGTCATAAATATCTAATAAAATCTTGAATACAAATAAATGCCTAGTTTTACATTTTATAAATTATGGATAGATCATTAAAATTAAGAAGTATCAAAAAGTATCTGTATTTATAGTCACTAGCCGTATTAAATTTTGAGACCGTGTCAAGGGGATTCCCTAAAAGAAATCTTATTGAGACTTGAATATTTGTCAAGATATGCAGTAAAAAAAAGAAAGTTAAAATAAATAAATTTAAAATATTTAAAAATAATATAATGATAGTGTATAAATCTGGTCTGACAAAGTAACTATTTATTTCAAACCTTTTTTTAATTTTCAAAAACTTACGTTTTTGCTTTTATTTTCGCCAAGCCGCCATTAAAAAGCAAAGTTGCTTTTGTCTTTGCTCTGCGTTTGTTTGTGTTTTCTTGTGCGGTGGGGAGCCAAGCGAAAATGCCGGCACTTGGGAGAGCGGAGCGAGCGCCAAAGAGAGTGGCCAGCGGGCGAGGGCCCAGCCAGCCGTCCCGCTCTGATGGGGCCGCCCCAATTCGTCGGTGCGAAGAGGCCGGCGATAGTGCGGCGCGAGAGAGCGCGAGCACGTCACACAGCTGGTGGATATGGATATGCGTATCCGTGAGATGCATTTCAGTTTTCAGTTCGAGTTTGTATTTCGTTTGGTGAGGTTCATTCCGTTGTTCGCTGCCGTTCGCCTTTGTCCACTGTCGACGTGTCCCTCTCTCTCTCTCCGTGTCTCTCTCCGCCGTGCGTGTCTGCCCCGACTTTATTTACCTTTAATCTCACGTTTCACAAAGAATAAAGATCAACTGAAAGTTATAGTCGTACAGGAAAGTGCGTAGAAAACGCAGAAACCGCAGCAAAACGAAGAGGAAAAGTTGGCGCAGCCCAAAAAGAATCAAATAAAAAGAAGTGCGCGTGTGTGTTTACGTGTGCGTGCGTGTGTGTGAGTGCGTGTCTTTGCCGTCGCTCCCTTTGCAAAAAAAAAAAAAAAAAAAGTATCTTTCAGATACACGACAATTAGCCAAGACAAAAACATCTGAAATCTGATAATCAGCTTAGGTTTTCCTACTTTTTTTAACAATTAGGGTTTTGAAGAAATTTTCCCCGTTTCGTTGCGGAATTTTTGTGTGGCGTTCCGCTGCCCAACCGTTCCCCCACTCTCTTCCGTGCTCGCTCGCTCTTTCCTTCTTTTTTTGGCTCTCTCGTGTCGCTTTGCCGCCTTCGGGTTTCATAATTTTGTCGCTTTTCGCTTGCGTATCTTTATTTATATTTTGTTCCGTTTCCACTGCGTTTCGCTCAGTGTGAATTTTAATTGCCCACTTTTTGGAAAATTCAAAATACAAAATTCTCCACCTCACTCGCAGCAATACTAATAGTTTTACATTCTTCTCGCCCCACCAAATAGTTTCTCTGACAAAATACTATATGATTTCTCCAAGATCTTGGTGTATATATTTTGTGCAAAATAAATACAAATAAAAACCATAAATAAAATCAAGCTAGCCTTGGCAAAATCATTGAAAAATATTTTTAAAAAATACATAAAAAGAAGAGATAAAAAACCAAATCGATTTAAAGATATATATTTATATACACACAACGGTTTCACTTTGCAAAGTTGTATACAAAGTTAAAAAGAAAAGTAATATAAAAATAAAACAAGAAAGCGATTTACAGTTATCCACGCAAATTAATCAATTGTTTGGCCACACGCTGCCTCACGGTCTTCAAAATAAAATAATACACGAAAAAAGTGCAAATCAATGTGCAAAATCAAAGTATATATTCAATAATTATCACATAAAATGCCGACTAACAAACTAAGCAAACATGGATTAACGCATTTATTGTAGATTGTTATCTATGGGATTGAAGTCAACGAAAAAGGTTTGAGCAACATTTTTCAACGTAAATCAGTAACTAAAAGGTACGAATAAATTTTAATTTATAGTACAGATTTATTTTTAGAAAATTAAGCAATTCAGTAATGGGTAATAAAAAATATTACACATTTCAAATAGATAGAAAAACTATAATAGGGGAGCTTTTTTTTTCCATTTTTACCTTAGATTTATATTTTAAAAAATAATCTTCTTAAAAAAAACATCAACTGATATATTTTTATTTTATTTTAAATCTTAAAAAGAACAATTAAGATTATTAAAACAATCTTTTTTTGATGTTTTTTGATCTAAAAGTCTAATTAAAATGCCTTATTTCAAAAAATCTTGTATTTCTTAGCTGACTCATATTATTTCCATGGATGTCCAATCCATTGCCCCTAAGAATTTCCCAACATTTCGTCATGATCGCCTTTTGCAAGAGAACTTATCAGAACTCCGGTTCGAACAGTTGATGGCTGGTGGAAATGATAATCTACGAGCGCAGAAGTACAGAGGTGCAGGCAGGCAAACACTCTGTCGTTCGAGGCCTACCGATTACATAAGAAAACGTGAGTCGAGTCGCGCTGCTCGGTTCAGTTAGAATTCTTTTGCTAATACACGAGCAAACATTGTAAACTGCCTCGGTGTTTGTCATTCATTCTCGGTCGGTGCTGCGATCTCTCGGCGGCAAACAAACCCCAAAACTCTGTACCCCAACCCAAACCCAAAGCGAAACCCAAACGAAATATCATATCACCGGGGAGCTGAGAAAACCGACTGAAAATCGGCTCACCCGAAACGAAAAGGTTTATTTTTTTTTTTTTTTCTTTTTCGTTCGTGGTTCTTAACTCTTGCTCGCTCTTTTGGCGCTACATACAAAAACGTATCTCACGGATACATTTGTGTTCGGGGTTTTTTATCAGCGCTAAAAGCGCAAAGTTTTGCATATGATATTGAAATATTTATTTTGAGAACATTTTATTTATACCGTCAATGAAAATTCTCAGCTATTTTTACTAATCGCTCTCTTACAAGCGAGAGGAGCGAGCTCTTAGAACATTTTGCGACGTATTTTGGTTTGATTTAATTAGTTTATTGTATTCAGCTATTAACTGGCTGCCGGCAATTTGGTTTTTTTCGGACAGGTTAAACCAGTTTTCCTGTTTGACGGTTCTACACAAAAATTAAAAAAAAATAAAACAAAACAGCGAACGCCTCAAACATGCCACATTATTTCATAGTTTTTGCTTCGTGTTCGTATGTTTTTTTTGGGCGCCCCTCAGCGTAATCTTTGCCGCTCATAATTTAATAAAAGTATGAGGAAGAAGGTCTCATAGCTAACAAAATGCTGCGCTTAGGCTTATCGCCGATGCCCCCACCGCTCACGAAAAACCGAAAGCAAAACCAAAACTGAAACCATCGGAGAACCACACACACGCTGGCCGTAAAGCGGCGATTAGATAATGGCATTTTAAATGATGTCTCTACTGTACAGTAGAGTCGCGAAACACACATGAACAGTGGACAACCAACAATGGGATTGGACTTTGTTTTGAAAACTGAAAACGCCTGATAAGACAGCCCAGAGACGGGCAAACACTGAGAGTATCGGAGAAGCCTAGAGAGAGAAATGGAGAAGTGCGAGTGTACAACCGAGAATACATATAATAAATACAAAATACATTTCAATAGATTAGGTTCAAGAGAAAGACTTTCGACAGAACAGGGCAAGTGCATTCTTAATAGCTTCCAAATTGATGGTAATAACATGGAACCTCAAAAATAATGATCCTTCAAAGTAGTTCATATAAAAGAGATAAGAGAATACTTGAAAAAATCTAAAGAATAAATCATTTTAAAAATAAATATTTATTTTGCAACATTTTTAAACAATTCCTAAATGAAAATCGTACGTTTTTCTAAATTTTTTATTTATTTATAAATTATTATTTCAGTTTAGTAAAGGAATCTGCAACAAAAAGTTTAAATATTAATTGTGGAAAAACTAGATACTTTTTTTGGGAATATACTTACTTTTTCTAATATTTTCAATGGTTTAAGAATTATTTTTTCAGTTTAATCAAGTTAAAATAGGGATTCTGGAAGAACTAAAGACTTTTTCAGGAAGTGTTTTCTATCAGTTTTCTTTACTAATAGAATACGATATATTACTAGCCTTGGCGTCTATATCCTCGCAAACCTTGAGCGTTGTCTCCACTTCTCCCATTCCGATTCTCCCTTTCTCTAGGGGGAAAACTCCGAGTCGCCCGTTTTTGGACTTTTGTACGTTTCCCTCGCGCCAAAGTTGCTGTGAAGCGTAAATGAATTTGTCCCTTTGAAGTTTTCCATGTTAATTGGGAAATTAAGCTTGACCAGCGCTCGCCAGTTGGATCCATTCGGTTTCTTCACTTGAAATCGTCGTTGTCGTCGTGTATATAAGACATTTTTTATTCAACTTGGAGTCGCTGGTGTTCCTCTTTTTTTTGTTTTGTATGTCTTGCACTTGATTCTTGTTGGCCGGGACTACGTTTATAATTACGTTAACTTCAATTACTGCTTACGTACTGTATCAGACCAATTTTTGTTGCTTTCCAGGTAAAACTGGTTTCTTTATGCCTCATTTTGTCTTTTTTATAGTAATTTTTGTTGTTGTTTTTTCTGTGTCTGTACGTACCGCTGCACGAGTTTTGCTATAATTTTAATTTCTTTTTGAAGTTTTGCGCAAATGTGTTGAGGGTCTCATGGCTGCTATTTAAATAGTAGTTAAAAAATTGTTGCCATCCTGAAATTCTTGGGAATCAAACTCATTACAGTTAAATACCGTTTATATGGCTGAAAATCCCAAAAAAATGTTAAGGGTTTTCAATATCTGAACTCATTTGATTCGGAATATTTTTTAGAAATTTAAAAAAAGTACATATAATGTCAATAAACAATCCTTTATAATAAAATTTAAGCTTAAGCTTATATTACAATGCGGAATTTCCGTTTCATCAATTTTTAAAGAATCTTTGGACTGTATATATAATTTTTTGTGGAATTCCCCAAAGTCTTCTGCGATTGACATAGCTGGATATTTTGTTATTTGGTTCTCTATTTCCTCCACACATCCACTTATCCACATTGTTGTGTTTTTTTTTTTTTTTGGGTTTGCTTGCGATTTTTGTATGCTTTATTTTGATTTTGATTTGTTTGTTGTGTTTGTGTTGCTTCGCGGGCTGCTCCTCTTTGGGGCGTTTGCCGCATTTGAATTTCATTTTTAGATTTCAATTTATTTTCGGCGTAGTTTATGCCAATTTGGTTTTTGGGTGCGATTTCTTTAATATTATGTATGCCATATATTGTTCCCCTTGCTTCAGTTGTGTTGGTGGCAAATCGCAGTGTGGTGTGTGAGTGCTTCTTCAAACGAATTTGATTTGATACTCATTTTTCTGTGCCCCCCAAAGTGTTTGTTGTATAATAGGTTAACCGACAAGCCACAGAAAATTGCAATTTTCGAGCCGTACTGTACTCGATTATTATGGTCTGTTCTTTCTATCGGCGATTTCTTTTTTGTCATGTGCCCGCCTTTAGTCATAGTCGAAATACGGAGAATACTGCGAGCTAAAGATCGCTGTGCGGTTCCCTTTTTTAAAAGCATATTAACTAATTGACGTCTGTGTTTATCTATAAGCAAAAAATACAAATGCTCGCTCGACCCACAAATATTTGACGAACTGACATTTGGGACACCAAACGACGACCGCAGGAAGCGTAACAAATGTTTCCACTCATTGGGGAGACCATTCATTGAGGCCTCCACTCTTTTTCTAGCTTGGCCGGGCCCCAACTATAATTATCTTAATTAAAAATCTAAAGTCAAAGTTGGCCCAGTAGTCTAAAGTCGGAGAAGTCGCCCAACCGGCGATTAGCTCATCTGGTTTTCTGGCGAATTGAGCAATCCAACCTCGTCTAAATTGTAGGGAAAAGCTCGAGACAATCTCGGCTTTTAGTGGAGGAGCCTCGGAAATCCCCTCTTACCACTCATTACTTGCACATTGCTCTGTTGAAATTTAAATAAACGAAATAAATAATTTTCAGCTGGCTTTTATTTTTTACTTTTTTTTTGTTTTTGGGCCGAAATAATGTTGATGTCATAGGTTCGTTGGCTGGGCGTAAAAAAATCGTTGGTAGGCATTCAGTTCGAAATCTGTGTGTGTGTGTGTGTTTTTGTGTGTGCGGCTGGCTAATGCAAGCATCCGAAAGGCAAAAAAAAAGAGAAGAAAAAACAACAACATTTGAAAACGACTCAGGAATGCCCATTATATATGCCAAATATTTGCTTTGTCAAAGTATTTTTCTGGTTTGTTTTATGAGTATTAGTTGATTTCGAAGTGATTGAATGGGACGGCAGGAAGGAGGGGAGTGGGAAGTGCCTTTAGCAGTGACTATAAACTATAGTTTTGACTGATTAGGAAGTATGAGTCAGAGGTCCGAAAGCAGATACCAAAACCTTGTTGGATGTAACTCAAGATAACTGCGTAATAGCTTGAAGAATTAGTTAACTGTTTAGAAAGTAAAGGCGAAGGAAACAAGTTTCAAAATGCTATAAAATATATGTACATTTTACTATACGTACTAAGCAATTAATAACATTATTATAGCTAATTTTATGGCTTGGAAAAGATGTCTTCTAATTTTGTAATAGTAATTGAAAAAGGTTAAGTGATAATTAATGTATCCGTTTGTTAGTAAAATGTGATTTATTTTCTTTTTGACATTAAAGACGAACTAAAACTATTTGTAAAGTAGTTGTCTAATCTTAAAAATTAAAAAATAAATAGTTCTGGCATTTTAAATCAATTTCTTGTTTTATTTAACATTTCGAACAGTTAAGTTCCGGTTTCAACTGCATTGATATCGATAAGATAGAAAGCCCCCAAAAAAGTACATATTTCTTCTCACCTATCTACTACCTGTTGCCTAACCCCCAACCTCTTACACATACACCAAAGGCTTTGAACCAAAACTCTATTATTACCAACACAGAAAAAAGAAACCGAAA